AACATGAGTCATTATTTACGTTTTTAAGAGGTGTGCATAGTATTCACTCCATATTACAAAGTGATTCATTGCACAATCTCTGAACTGCTGCTTGCGGTGGCTACGTTAAAGGAGCACTGACACAAGAATTTCGCCCCCCCCCTTTTTTTTATGCAATAGGTATCTTATTACCCACTTATCATGGCTGGAAACCTCGTTTGCATGAGTGCATGAGTTTCTTATTTAGGAACGTTTTTAGGGTGACCAGTTGCTGTTCAGTTTCAAAAAGCACCGAGCTAGGCGGGAGCAGTTTCGATGGAAAGGTAGACACAGCTAGCCACGCGAAGATGCAAAACTGTGACATGGGCACTGTGCTGGAGAGCGGACGCCGCATTGACAGCCAGTACATCCAGCACACGAGGAGCCATAGGCATGGAGGTATAAATCGCAGGTAGAGCAAGCAGCCTGACAGCAAAAACTCGCGGTGTGGCTTTGTTTACATTGCCACCACGGTGATGTCAGTGTTGCAAGGAGCGGCGCGTCTCGCTCAAATTCAGTTTAAAATTGATTTTGAATATGTTCTAGGCGATCTTTATTCTTGATATTTTGTAGATGTTATTTATGTCTCCACATAAAACTATCTCGCTTATCATTTTGCCTTCGAAACCTTCTGTCACTGCTGCTTTAAGAAAGCACCTACCTCTTAGCCCTTGTGTTGAAGGGCATTGATGAGGTAATCGTGCTAATGCCATATTTTCAGGATAGATCAATTACCACGAGCGTTGCCAATCACTGTCGTTCGCACATTTCATGTCACCTTCATGTTCTTTTACACTTATGTTTTATGCACCTTTAGTGCACAGTACTTAAGGCCCATATATAGCCGCATAACATAATCATAGTTCACATTCATTGTCTATCATAAATTATTGATTATTGTTAACTTTCAATCATCTGTTATAGTGCTTTTTGACCAAGCCTGACCCTTGTGCCATGAAAGACTAAATGTCATCACCATCGATTATTTAAAGCTTCTCTGTCAAAGCAAAAAAGTTTAAAACGAAAGGTGCCAAAACAAAAAAAGATCTCGTATTTAACATGCTTTGATGTTGTATTTAAAATCTCAAAATACATGCCTAGTACAACAAGGCTTCAGACATCAGAAAAAAAAATATGTAATATAAACTTTGAAAGCACATACGCTTCGGCATTTTGTTAATTCATGTTTACTTTTTTAGTGCACTAAACTAACTAGGACTGCAAAGAATGATGTAGTGTCTGCATTGTTTTTGTTCATTTATTGCTCTCAAAAAGGGAATAATGATAACTATAAACCTGTTATAAGTCCTCTGACAGGTGGTGTCACTGAGATTTACATACACTATGCCTGTCTACGAAAAGCACAGTTCTTTCAGAGCATGGAACAGATAAAGAGGGCGACTTTCACACTTCTATGAAAGCAAAGCAGATGATTGAAAGGGCCAATTTGTCATCTTTCGCAACAGTGCCATTTTATGGCCTTACATTACCACTTTGGATTAACTGATAAGTAAGTTATAAAGCAGATTAGGTCTGAGCCACTTCTGAAGGCTTTGTTTCGTGGCACCTTAAAGAAAAATGTTAAATCACAGTCCCTTAATACCGTTCTGGTCACGAAACTTCTCCGTCACTCTATGGGAGAGCTTGATATGGTGCCAAGAGCGGCCGCTACGCTGCGCAAGCCGTCCTAGGGAGGCCATCGCCCCGCTGCGCTCGGCGGAACCCACTGGCCACGGCGGCATCCCGAAGGCGTTGTGTGGTGGCAGCTCGCGGTTTCTGCATCAGCGAAACGCGAACTTCATGTGCCAGTGCACCGTGCTCAAGGTGGACGGCATGAAAATTCGAATGAACAATGCCTAAGACGTGCTGTGTGACGGGTTGCAGCTCCGGATACCGAAGCAACAAAGAAAAGGCGTCCCTCTTCTGTTTCCCAAGTAGCGCCGAACTCCGAGAGAAATGGAAGCGAGCTATACCGCGGTTGGAAGCTGGTGGTTTCAGCTTCGAAAGTAAGAACGTTCGGGTGTGCGAAAAGCATTTTGATGCTAGCGACGTTGTGAGAACCGACGAGCACATCGTGAACGGGGTGGTCGTGTCGCTTCAGCAAGAGAGACCGAGGCTTCTCACGGACGCCGTTCCAAGAATTTTCGACGGGCTCCCGGCGTACCTGACAAAGCCACAAACAAAATCGAGGGGCTATTTGAAAGTACCTAGCAGCTGTCTTCTTGCTCTCCTGAAAATTGTTGAAAAACATGTAGAGACGTACACGGTGCAAAACATTGCATGCGGTGACGTGTACGCGAGGATTGTTGAGGGCATTTTGCTCGACAGTTGCACAGCGTCAGCAAGTGTAGGTTGTCTGTTGCACTTTTTAGGGACAACAGCTAAGGTAGTACACTTTTTTTGAGATGTAGATTACATTTCTTCACTCGAGAAAAAAACAAAGCCTTGCGGGCAACTGTGCGCAGTTCATGCCCTGCAAGTGGTGGGTGGAAGCCACAGTGTTAAGCATAATGGCTGTGTATGTGAGCACGCCTCCCCATTTGTATATAGTGTTGTATATCTTGTATACATTACACTGTAATATTTTTGTACTATTCATATTTATCTGCATATAGTGCAAATAGTGTATATTCAAATACAGTTTATTTTAGGCAGTGAGCTAAGGCAGAGTGCAGCTGTTAATGAAACGAAATACACATTGTACAGTAGAGTCACAGATTGTGTAACATTGCTCAGAACAGCTGCAATAGTTTCTAGTGCTTTTCTTCTCCAAAGTGTTGTTCTCAGTGTATTTTGTGTAAATAAATGTTTTCCAACTTTCTCCCCATTACATGCACCATATGTTAATCTCCCATTCATAAGTACACACCTGACTACTAGGCGGCGTATCATTAGCACCAAATTTAAGATTTATTGCATGCCTTAAATCATAACCGCCCTTCCCCCCCTCCCACCCAAAAAATAAAAACAAATGTGTGATGAGGTACCTCGGTAGTGGCAGAGGCGGCCAAGTGGCTAGCACTGGCATCAAAAGGCACTTCCAGATTAGGCTGCTGTACTTCCGTTCCCGGAGAAATCATGGGTTGTCGGCCGGTAAGTAATAATGCCCTAAACATTAAACACGAGGAAACGTCAAGCGGCGGGTGTCCCGTGTAAACTGCGTGGAAAGAAGTGATCAATCAAATGTTGGGCACGTTTAGAACGGTCGCGAAAGCCCTCGGCATCGAAAGTCCCCGCGTCAAAAAAGCGATCGGCGCTCACAAACGTGTGTCCAAAACAACAGTGCATTTGGGTATAAACTCAATTGAAAGGTCTGGAATAAAACTTCTGGCTCAACCATTCAGTTCAATTGAATACTTCGGTAGTAGCGCGCGAGAGGCGAGCCGGATATTAAACAATGTGATGGCTCCTGTACTTCCCAGTCGTGTTTCATTTCGTTCACCTTCCTCCCCCTATTAGCGGCCCTACCAGAATATAAAGCTCACCTACCGCATAAACATAATCGCCCTTTGGCCGGGCGCAAATACAAACATGTTGTCGAGGCAGATCAAGCAGTAGCTGCTCGCATCAAGAGCATGGAGCATAAGCATCGCCTTTCAACATTTGCGAGCTATAGCTCGCAAGTACCGCTTCGAGGCGTCGTAAGTATGCACATAATTGGGCTATGAGACAATTATTGACACAATGCGTTATCGCGCGGTGTGAGAACACTTTTAATGCGCTGCTGTTTATAAGGTGGGCCCGCATTTATAACTAAACTACGCGTGCGTTCCAAAGTAAACAGCTCTCATTCGTCGTCTACACTGGATCCCGTTTCAACTTATTTATGTGGTGGCATTGATGCGTTCAGAGACGTTTAAAAAAAGGTAACAGGAAGAACAGCACGCACATAATCGCGTCGAAACGTCGGCCGCAGTGCGCATACAAGCCCAGCAGTGGCGGCGGCTTGTGGCCCCCATACGACGGGTGGCACCTCTAGCGACAGATTTTGTCCCTATATCAACCTTCGGGCGGAGTTTCGTGACCAGAAAAGCATTGAAGGACTCTGGTAAACTAAGCTGGCAAGGAGCAGTCACTCTTTTGAAATGCCCAAACCAAGAGCTGAGGTGTGGCAATGCATCATATTTTTGAAAACGTTTGCTAGGTGCTAGTCACATTCATTAAGCTGGCCATGACGTTGGGATCCCACTATTCCAAGTCAATCAATACAACCAAATAGTAAATGTAGCCATTATGGTTGTACACACAAAAAACTGAGCTCTCAGTGTATCTGTGAACATTTCAATTGGAAGTGGTTAATTTGTCGCCACCTGTCATTTTTGCCATTGCTGCCTAAGTTCAGGCCACCAATCTGCTCAAACCAGTCTTAAACCACATTGGATGTCTTTCTTTGTAAACTGTGGCATTCAATGGTACAGGAAGGCTGCCACTTTTGAATTGTGCCTGCAATTCTTTCACTTGTGTGATCGCTTACACAACCAGAGAATACCTCATAAACTACCCAAGCCTGACTGCCAAGACACACTTGCCAAAACAAAGCATGACATCTGTGGTGTATTACAGCTCTTGCAGCCACATCTGGCACTTGCTGTGCATAATGGCATCACCTACAAGATTGGCTTCTACTATTGGATTAGCAAACATTACCAATGTAAACTAGGGCCGTCTTCTTGATTGGTTCTCTTTGAGAATACTTCACTGATTGTATGACACACTGTCCATGCAAAGCCCTAATTGTGGAAGATTGGCAGTCCTAAGCTGAGAAGCCCAATTTCCTTAGCCCTCGAATCGGAAATTGCCTCCCAACTGGAAATTTCCGATGCTTGGTTCAGAGATTAGTGCCTTAATCAAGAGGTATTTTCAAATCGATTAGCCCTTTATAGCGTTTTTTATATATTATTGTTACATTAGAGACTCGTTATAGTGTTTCACGCTAAAAGTAGTGAATGCTTTCTCCTGTTGACTTTTATTTTCTGTTTAAGTCTCACACAGAGCTGGGAAACATCTGGAAAGTTGGCCAATGTCTATGGTTCAAAAGATTTTCCTGCAATCTACGATGTTTATCCCAAGAATGGCCTGACCATGTCAAACCTATCATGCAGGAACTTGGAGGTAATTTCAGT